CAAAATTTACCGGGCAAGTGATAAATAACGCCTGGGAGTGTGTGACTAGTGAGGTGAATCTTGTCGCTCGCGTTCCGAGTACTGTGGCTGAAACGCGTAGGAAGTTGACAGACCTCAGAGCAGCCGTGAAAAAGAGAAACACAAGAGAAGTAATACATGGAAGAACAGGTAAGATTTCTAAATAAATTTTGTTTATTATATGCTGTAAGAACCCAAAATATTAGTGTTGAAATGTTGGCACAGAAGGAGTAAAGCAAATACCTTATATAATTTAATAACTTATGTTCTTGTCACGGAATTGTTCATGTATTAAATTAACGTTTTATTATTGAACATATGAACAAATTAACAAAGTAAATGTGAAGGTGATATCAACATGATGGTACTCTCACAGATACACAACATAGTATGAAAACAAAGGATAATGTCATAAAGAAAGTAGATTGTTGAAATAGTTAGTAATGAGCTATATGTATCATTCTAGAAAATTGACGAGTTAAGGCAAAGGTCAACAATATAGCATTAAGTATGGTATTAGTACATGCACAACCTTATTTGTTTGCTATTATTTTAGTTCTGTATGTTTATTACTGAAAGAATTTATTTCTTAGAATATCTGCAATTATATAACTTTTACTGTATTAACATTCTTCACAAACTCAGACTAAAGGAGATATTTATTTTCTATATATAAGAATAAACACAACTTCGTAAATAAAGCAAAATTACACACAGGATCTTATTTGTTTGGTATGATTATTCGGTTCAATACTTACTGATTAATCTTATTTCTTGAATTAACTTCATTAAATGAAGAATTTTCACCATGTAAATGTGCTTCTCAAATGTAGTCTAAAAGAGATATTAATTTTGAAGTAATTATGAATAGCAAATTCATCCTATAAAGTAGTGAAGACTACAGAATATGCAGACTTATTCAGATCATAAAATCATTACCCATATTGACAATGACACAAAACCACAACAGTATGCAAGGTATTAACAAAATCAGAAAAAGTCATCATTGTCACTACAGTTTAATATAAAAGACATGACAAGTTCAGACTTTATGTATATCTGATTCATTTTTTTTTTTTTTTTGTTTCCCAGATGGTGGCCCAGCAGTTCTTACAAACTACACAGCAGTTGAAGAAGCTATGTTAGCTCTGATTGAGGCTTTTATTATTTCTGGCTTACCAGGGTCTATGAAAATGAGACAAATGTTTCTAATGAAAGGGGGAGGGGTAAATAATTGTGTTACCTGTAATATTTGCCAATTTTCATTACATGAAGCAACACAGCCTAAATAATACAAGCAATTGTAACATTATATATATATGTATAGATAGATAGATAGATATTGATATATATTATTCTTATTTTTAATCATAGTAAGCTGAATGTTGGTTTAGGATTTTGTAAATGTATTGTCATATTTGACTCAAGAAGTACATATAAAAATTAAATATTGATATTTATTTTTTTAGATGTTGAAGAACCAACCCCTGGGCCATCTGGGATAGCATCTCAACCCATAATGGATTCTGAAGTTATTGTAACAATGGATGAGAACACTTTGGAGGAGCAAGAAGTTACAGTACCCATTGTAACAATGGACTACACATACTCTGCGGAATTACCCCATTTCTTCACAGAAGAGTAACTATAAAGATGGATTTAGCCGAGACAGTGCAGTGGTCCAAGAGAGAGAGACCTTTCAAGAACTGAGCAGGTCAAGCTTTAATCTTTCTGATGCTGTCATATAAGATTTTGGTTTATTTGTTACTGAGACAGAGCAATATTTGATTTAGATTTTTTCCTTCTCTAAATTTTGTAGAGTTCAGGAGAAAGCAAATTTTATTTAATTCTATTCTAATATTCATTCAAAATAGTTACATGGTTTCAGGGACAGCTTTATTTTAATTATGTTATTATATTCCTTTATTTGCATTATATTCTTTTATTTGCATATTTTTTATGCATAAAACTTAATGCAATATACATTATTTGCCCACAAAGGTTTTTATTGATTTTGTTTCAAAGGCAGTAACTGTCTTGTGGTCATAAGGCAATATGAAAAGTGTCAGTACATTTTGTATATATAGATTTTTTTACACTACTTTTGTAATATATATTTACTGTATGTATCTTACCAGTTTTATTGTTTTATAATCACAGGTCTGAAATAAAGTTGTATTTTTTATGCTTTTATCATAATTAACCTAAATCTAGAATATCTGGAGTAAACAAATATTTCTTTTTACATATCCAAGATCCAAGTTAGAAATGCTTTATGCAAATTGATTTAGCAAAAATAGATAAACCTGTTATAATGGTAATGTTTTAACAGGTTTACCCATTGTGTGGATGGACTAATAGTTTAAAACAATATAAGGTTATCTTTAATGCCCCTTTTTAACAAGCATATGGCATAGAAAGATTAATCATACAGATATCCACATTGCTTTCAGGCTGTAGTTACTACAGTTAACACACACAT